GGCAAGAAGGCCGGCAGGAAGGCAGGGAGGCAGGAAGGCAGGCAGGAAGGAAGGCAGGAAGGAGAGAAGGAGAGAAGGAAAGAAAGAAAGAGAGAGAGAAAGAAAGCAAGAAAGCAAGAAAGCAAGCAAGCAAGCAAGCAAGCAAGAAAGCAAGAAAGAAAGAAAGAAAGAAAGAAAGAAAGAAAGAAAGAAAGAAAGAAAGAAAGAAAGAAAGAAAGAAAGAAAGAAAGAAAGAAAGAAAGAAAGAAAGAAAGTGTAAGGTCCACTCTTGGATGGTGAGCAGACTCCACCCTCCTCGCAGCAAAGTTTCCTCCCAGTACCTGCATTACCTAGGCAACTGGCACACCTGGATGAGGTCACATCTGCATCCGCTGAGGTCACATCTGAATTTGATGTGGCCACACCTTTATCCACCCATACCCTAGATAAGGCCTAGCCCAGGCCCAGACTCTTTCCCAGCTTTCCCAGCTCTCTTTCCCAACTCTCCCAGCTCTTTCCCAGCCGTGTGGAGGGCCAACATGGCCTGGTGCTGAAGCATTAAAGTAATTCCATTCTTGAGGCAGTGACTATTTGTTGCTTATCTCAGCTAGCAGAGCAACACGTGGTGGTAATCCAAACACCCGGTTGTGTGCCTTTATAAGCCCTGCAAATCCTTACCTCAGGGCTCTCCTCCTAGGCTCCGCTGTGTCGGAGTGCAGGACAAGGCTCAAGCTGCAGCCCGTCTAAATAAAACCTTGCTTCTGCATTTCAGAACGTCTGACTCTCGGTGGTCTTCTTGGTGGGGTCCTGCGACGTGGGCACAACAGTTCCAGCTGGGACAATGAATAAACCTACCCCTTACCTGAATATCATGTGCATGGTGTGGTTCTTACTTGGCAACCTCTTTTTTAAAACCTAACAGAAACGGGCTGGGAAGGTGGCTCAGTGGTAGAGCGCTTGCCTTGCAAGCCTGAGGCCCTGGGTTCGATTCCTCAGCACCATATAAGCAAAAGAGAAAAAAGCCAGAAAGTGGCGCTGTGGCTCAAGTGGTAGAGTGCTAGCCTTCAGCTGAAGAGCTGAGGGACAGCGCCCAGGCCCAGAGTTCAGGCCCCACAACCGGACCCAAAAAAAAAAAAAAAACCTAACAGAAAGAAGGAAAGAGAGAGAGGAAGAGAGAGAGGAAGAGAGGGAGGAAGGGAGGGAGGAAGAGAGGGAGGGAAAGGAAGGAAGGAAGGAGAGAAAGAAAGAAAAAAGAAAGAAAGAAAGAAGGAAAGAAACAAAAACAAAGGAAGAAAGAGAAAGAAAGAGAAGGAAGAAAGAAATATTGCCCCAATATCATACTATCTAACGAATATCCCATGCTCAAATTTTCCTATTTACCATAATAATGTCCTTTAGAAAAATACTGACATTTTGAAAGAATGGCAAGATGAAATAGATATATCTTCTATTTTGACTCTGTGAAAACACAGACCCATCTCCAGGAGATTTATCCTGGCATGTGCTTGCTACCAAGCAGGACTGAGACCCCCAAGCCCAGATTTTATAAATCACATGATTTCTACTACCTCCTTCCCCTAAAGGGATATGAATTGATGGGCAGCATCTGAAAGCACTGAAGCCATAATGCGTACATTTCTTACCAAGCATTGCAGCCTCCTCCTTTGTTTACCCTTCACATCCCTTCCCAGCCTCCCCCGTCCCCCCCTAATCCCAATCCTTCTCCCTCCCCCCTTCCCCCCCCCCCCCCCCCCCCCCCGCACCAACGTTGTAAAGCTCGTTTTGGACATGACAACTTGTACTTCTCATTGTTGCAACAGGTCCACCTGTATCCTTAAACAACTGGTTTTTCCCCCATCTCCTCCACAAGTTATACTGACATCAAATATAGTGAAAGCAGGGGTTATACTGTGGGGGAGGGACATACAAAGCAACAAAGAGATAATCTTATAAATGTGTTAGAAACACATGCATGAAAGAAAAAAACATTAAAATACACATCTAAGGGTTCATTTTCCTGACATCACATTATCTGACCTTTTCCGCTTGACTCATACATATACTAGATATTACAAATAAGGGAAACCATGGGACCTACGTTTCTTTGGGCCTGGCTTACTTCACTTAATATAATTTTTTCCAAGTTTTTCCATTTCCTAACAAATGGGGCAATGTCATTCTTTCTGATGGAGGCATAGAATTCCATTGTGTATATATACCACATTTTCTTGATCCATTCATCTACTGAGGGGCATCTGGGTTGGTTCCATATCTTAGCTATGGTAAATTATGCTGCAATAAACATAGTTGTGCTGGTAGCTTTAGTGTGGTCTTGTTTGTAAACATTAGGGTAAATGCCCAAAAGTGGGATTGCTGGGTCATAGGGGAGCTCTATGTGGAGTCTTTTGAGGAACCTCCATACAAGCAGAGGGCCTTTGTCCTTCATTTCTCACTGATTCTCTGACACATTCAAAAGACAGCCCTATGCTTAGACAGTTGCTTTCCAAACAGGTGATCTTGTGGAACAAATGAGAAACTACCCAGCACACAGGCTATTAAGGACCTTGTAATCATCAGGGGCTTCTAGTACACAGAAAAGGGAAGTTTCTATATGGAAAGAAGATGCAAATCAGGCAAACTACCATTCCACAAGAGGCTCCATTCTATGTTACTTATATCTGAGTGGTGCTAAGGATCAGGGATGCTGCCATGAGTTCATAGGATAAGGTAAATGGTGCCCTTTAAAAATTTAAGAGTATTAGTGAACAACCCCTAGAAATAGAAATAACTAAGTAGTATGTGTGCTTGAATTTTGTTTCTGTTTTTGTTTTTTGTCAGTTGTGGGGTTTAAACTCTGGGCCTGGGCGCTGTCCCTGAGCTCTTCAGCTCAAGGTTATCACTCTACTACTTGAGCCACAATGCCACATCTGGTTTTCTGGTGGCTCATTGGAGATAAGAGTTTCATGGACATTCCTGCCCCTGCTGATTATGAGCCATGATCCTCAGATCTCAGTCTCCTGAGTAGCTAGGATTACAGGCATGAGCCACCGGAGCCCGGCTTGAATTTTTTTAACACAATAAAAATGAAAAGGAAAAAAAAGAAGGTATTTGGTGATCTATTTTTAGAATTTTGTATGTGGCCTTTATCAAAATAAATTTACCAAAGGCAATAGATAAGCCTTAGTGGACAAAACTGTTGTAGCAAGATGGAAACAAGAGGTTTTTATATTGTACTGTTTGCAGTTCTTTTTTCTTTCTTTTTTCCTTTTTTTCATTCCTTTTTGTCACTGTTTTTTATTTCTGTACCCTTTGTCTTGTATATAAGGTTATCTGATTTGGGGAGGGGAAGGAGAATCACAGAAATGGTGGGACAAAAGGTGAATCAATTCAGAAGTGATGCTCACTAGCGACACTGTGTAGGAAATGAACTTTATAACTTTGTGGGGAAGGAGGTCAGGAAGGGAAAAGGAGAAAATGAGGGAAAGTTAACACTCATTACCTGATATATGTAACTGTAACCCTTCTGTATATTACGTTCAAAATAAAATTTAAATTAAAAAAACTGTTGTAGCCAGGGAGTGGTGGCTCACACCCATAGTCCTAATTATTCAGGAGGTGGAAATCTGAGGATTGCTGTTCAGAGCTAGCCCAGGAAGACAAATCTGGGAAACTGTTATATCCAATAAATCAGCAAAAAGCTGGAAGTAGAAGTGGAATCAAGTAGTTGAGTTCCAGCCGTGAATGAAAAAGCCAAGCAAGAACAAGGAGCCCTGAATTCAAATCCAAGGACTGGAAAAAATTAGTGGTTAGTATCCGTAATCATAAAAAGATACTCAAGAGGCAGAGATTGAAAGGGTCTCAGTACTAGGGCAGCCTGGGCAAAGAGATCACAAGATCTCAAATCAACAAAAGTGTTGGTGCGGTGGCATCCAGCTATAATACAAGCTACACAAAAAGAACAAAAAGGAGGATTGTAGCCTAGGCCCAGAAAAAAAAAAAGAGGGACACTGCCTGAGAAATAACAAAAGGAAAAAAGAGAAGGGGACATGGCTCAAGGGGTATTACACCTACCTGGTGAGCAAACTCCAGTACTAAAAAAAAAAGTTTTGTTTTTGTTTTTGTTTTTGCTTGCCCAGCCATGACTGCAGAGTCTGTGAATTCATGGATTGATTAGCATTTACATCACAGACTATTCTATCCATGCAGCATGTTTCCACAGTGGGCTATTGCCTGAGAATTCATTGTAAATACATTCTTAGGTTTTTGGCCCATAACCTGCACACTCAGAAAATATTTATTGTATAGCAAACATATAGAAAGCATTAAAAAGTAGTGATAAAAAACATCCTTGTTTTTTAATGTTCTTTGCTATGAAAGAGAACAAAGGTGAGAATGACAGATTGGCAACTTATAAACAAGGTAAAAGGTAACATCAAAAAGAATAACAATTTCTGACCATGATAATTCTAGACCATACACTTCATACACTCAAATCTTTTAACTGGAAAAATCTCTAATTGTGTTTCATGACATTTCCCAAAATTCAGCTGATTTTTTTCCTGTGTTTACCATTGGCTCTGTCCAGCATATTCTCTGCCATTGGCTCACTCACATTCTGCTATTTCTACAGTACCATGAAGGCTGAATAGTAACCTAACTATAAGTTTATATGGACAGCTAACACACTCTCTCTCTCTCTCTCTCTCTCTCTCTCTCTCTCACACACACACACACACACACACACACACACATTACAGATCATTGACTATTGAGTAAACAGTTTGAAGTAGATAGTCATCAGGTTCTGTTGAGCATGCTTAGGTCCAATAAACAGTATCAGATGTCTCCATAGTCCTTGGATGTCTATACCTTAAATTCCACCTTTTCTCAAGAATTTTAACGAAAATTTTAAGATACTGTGCATATCCATATGTCATAATAGTGTCTTTAATAAGGCATTACTCACTGACAATCTATCCATTTTACTCATCATTCTGCTTTTCAATCTATCATTTGAAATTCTAGGAACATTTTCTCAACATTCTTCTAACAGCTGCCTTCACCTCTTTGTTCTTCAGACTGTAGATGAGGGGATTCAGCATAGGAGTGATCACACTGTACTGCAAGGAGAAGATTAATTCTTGAGTGGATCCGGAATTTGGCATGAGATAGCGAAGTAATCCTGAGCCATAAAAGAAGCTCACAGCTGTGAGGTGGGATGAGCAAGTAGAGAAGGCCTTGCTTCTACCTGAGGTGGATCTGATGCTCAGGATGGTGAGCAAAATGCGAATATAAGAAAAAACTATCAGGAGAAAATTACCAATGAAATGCAGAAGGCTGGAGCAGAGGAGGGTGGTAAAACTTGCAGATACATCAGAGCAAGACAAAGGGTAGAGAGAAGGCAATTCGCAGATGAAGTGGTGGATATTTTGAGCCTCACAGAAGTCTAACTTAAGAGCTACAAGGATGTTGATGAGAGCATCCAAAAAGGCCAAGCCCCATGAGCCCCACACCAGCCCAATACACAGTTGTCTGTTCATCACCTGGCCATAGAGTAGAGGGGAACTGATGGCAACATAGCGGTCATAAGCCATCACAGCAAGCAGGCAGGATTCAGTGCCACCAGTGGCAAACACAAAGAAGACCTGAGCCAGGCAGCCTTCCACTGAAATGGTCTTCTTCTCCGATAAGAGGTTTTCCAAGAGCTTAGGCACAGTGACAGAAGAGTGGCAGAGATCCAGAAAGGACAACTGTCCCAGGAAGAAATACATAGGGGTACAGAGGTGGGAATCGGTCCTGACCACCAGCATCATCATCAGGTTCCCCAGTATGGTCAGGAGATAAATGGCCAGGAATATCATGAAGAGCAGAGCCTCGATCAAAAGGTCATCAGACAGGCCAAGGAGGACAAACTCAGAGACAGCACTGTGGTTTCTCATTGCCTTTGGTGTTTTCTTTGGAATATAAGAAATATATTGAATGAAATCTCTTCTTATGCCTACCAAATATCTAAGTGCCCTCTCATTCCCAACGTCTTATGTCTATCCAAAAGTTTACATTTAGAAATGATAAACTTCTATAAGTCTCTAGATATTTTTTTTTGTCAGTTGTGGAGCTGAATTCTGGGCTTGGACCCTGTCCCTCAGCTCTTCAGCTCAAGGCTAGCACTCTACTACTTGAGCCACAGTCCACTGCCAGCTTTTTTCTGCTTATGTGGTGCTGAGGAATTGAAACCAGGGCCTCATACATGTGAGGCAAGCACTCTACCACTGAACCAACTTCCCAGCCCCAGTCTCTAGATTTTCTAAACCCTGTGATAATCTTTTCTACAAAGCCTCAACTCTAGATGAGTCCCCAGCTAGCCTTATTATTTTTCCTTAACTGCTTTAAAGTTTGTTACTGATGTTTTTATTTATTTATTTATTTAGTCTGTTGTGGGGCTTGAACTCTGGGCTTGGGCACTCATCAGCTCAAGGCAAGCACTCTACCACTTGAGCCACAGCACCACTTCCAGTTTTCTAGTGGTTTATGAAGATAACAATCTCAGGGACTTTCCTGCCTGGGCTGGCTTTGAGCCATGATCCTCAGATCTCAGCCTTCTGAGTAGCTAGGATTACAGGTGGGAGTCACCAGCGGCCAGCTCTGATGTTTTATTGTTAAAGCTTCTGGAGAATGTTTTCAAACTACTGATAACAATCTAGTACACAGGGTGAGATTGTGAGAAGAATAAGAGGTAACTGCAGAAACTGTGTCTCTTAGAGTGTCAAGAGCAGTGGGGTTTCAAAGCATTAGCAAAAATTGTACCATCCAGGAGCTGGTGGCTCACACCATAATCCTAGCTACTCAGGAGGCTGAGATCTGAGCTTCATAGTTTAAAGCTATACTGGGCAGGAACATCCGTAAGACTCATCTCCAATTAACCACCAGAAAACTGGAAGTGGCACTATTGCTCAAGTGGCAGAGTGCTAGCCTTGAGCTGAAGAGCTTAGGGACAGCTCCCAGGCCCAGAGTTCAAGCCCCACAACCAACCAAAAAGCAAAAACAAAAACTGGGCTGAGCTGGGCATCAGAGGATCACAACTATGATCATAGCTACTCCGGAGACTGAGATCTGAGAATTACAGTCCAAAGCCAGCCTAGGCAGGAAAGTCTGTGAGGCTACTCTTCACAAATACCAGAAGTGAAGCTGTGGTTTAAGTGGTAGAGCCCCAGCCTTGACTGAAAAAGCTAACGACAACACTAGGCCCTAAGTTTAAGCCCAATTACATTCTCTCTCTCTCTCTCTCTCTCTCTCTCTCTCTCTCTCTCTCTCTCTCTCTCTCTCTCTCTCTCTCTCGTGCACACACACACACACACACACACATACACACACACTGCATTATCTAGAGACTAGAAGTCAGGCTCAAGGGTTAGATCACTTATCTACCAAGCTCAGGACCGTGGCTTCAAACCCTAGTACTTCCAAAAAGATGTGTTATCTATAAATGAAAGTTCATGTGCTGATGAATGAATAAGTGAATGACTAAGGAGGAAAATAGTTTAGGACTTCACTGCTCACAGACAACAGCCCTGATTAAGAACCCTTAAAGGATTTTAGACATCGAAGGAATGTAGTAAGACATTTTTTTTTTACCTGGAAAGGTTTGATCCAAAGTAGTAGCTCTTGTATTATTCTGTACTTCCAGTTACCTTTATAGAATATACTTAAATTAAATTAAATATATGGATCCTCTCTGACCTTGTGTGTTTATAGTCACTTGTAAATCTCAAATTTCTCCAAGTCTATCAATAGTGCCTTCATCTCCCTCTACTCCTTATGGATTGCTTTCTATCGTTAGCGCCCAAATTTTCCAAGTTCTTTTGTATAACGCAGACCTTCAGAACAAGGAACAAAGAATGCAGCAAGACATACAAAGCCAATCTTGTCTCAGTGTTCCCCAATGTAAAACAGAAGCTAAAAGTAACTGCCTTGAAGTGCTGTGAGGAATCACAAACAAGTATATGCACCAGAGTGACCAGAGTGAAACCCAAATGTCTTATGTTCACAAAAGGCTGAAAAGAAATGGTCTTGAGAGGCAGACCAAAGCATCTTAGGTAACAGAAATGAAAACTACATCAGACAGAACAAACTGAACAGATAAACAGAAGAGGAGAAGATTCAGAGGAAAAAAGTACTGACAGGAAAATTGAGTAGCAGTAGAAACTAGGAGAACCCTTAGAGGACCCAGAAAGATTATTACCATGCTCTGCCTTTTCTTGGTGCAGAATGTGTCCTGTTTCTCTGAGGTAATGGCTGTGCCTCTGAATTCCAGAGAAATTCACATTAAAGATAATAATGTACCATAACTTTCCAGTCTTAGGAAGTGTCCTGGCCTTTTCTACTTAAGACCTTTTGTGCATAAAGAGAAATAATGCAACCTTATTCCTCAAAAGCTCCTGCAAAGAAAGACTTTGGCAAGCTTTCCTGAACTTTGACAGCATTGTTGCTCTTATCTTTGAAAGACTCCTTTGTAGTTTTAACCACAAAGAAAAGGAAAACATCAAATTCTTAACAAGTATCAATAGTAACTTCTTTCATCTTTCCTCTAGCAATAATTACATAATAATCTTTCTGCAGTTGTTAATATAGTGCTAACAGCACCATTCTAACAAAGAAATGTGGAAGGGTTTCTGGGTTAATGTGGCCAATGGGACAGGCAAGAGATGACCTGAATGTCCCAAAGGTATCTGAGTCTATCCTGATTGCTAGAAATCAATGTGGGCTTATTAGCTAAAAAAAACAGTTGCTACATGCTTCCTCTGAGACTTTCCACTGAAGTGAATTGACTCTCAGCTTATTATTAGATCATATTTATTAGTATTTTATGTTTAATATATTTAATGTATAGACACTAGAGATATAACTACTATATTATTAAATTGCTATATATATCAAAGGCATAATTATACTGTTATATGTGGTGTTACATGATCATTGATAATTTAAAGTTATTAACATGTTTCACATTTTTGTTCAACTTTTCTGCATCTGAATTCAAAAGCTTAATAGCTATAACTAAGATTTCAAAGGATACCTTTGGCCCAAATTAGTCAAAACTGTTAAAAGGTTTTAAGGAATCAAAAGGTAGAAAAATAATTTCAAAGTGTGAACATTGAAACCTTCTTTTCTTTCTTTCTTTCTTTTTTGCAAGCAACAGGGCTTAAACTAAACATCTGGTGCTCTACCACTTGAGCCATGTCTCTAGACCAGCTTTGTCCTGGTTAATTGGAGATGGAGTTTTAGAGACGTTTCTGCTCAAGTTGACATCAACCTGCAGTCTTCTAGATCTCAGCCTCCTAAGTAGCTAGAATTTCAAGCTTTAGTGAAATCCTCCTTTTAAATTGTTTATTTAGTGTAAGTCTTCTGGTGATGCATTTATTTCATCTTCATTTTTATTGGAGGTACTGGGGTTTGAACTCTAGGCCTCACATTTGCTAAGCTGGTACTCTACCACTTAATCCACTCCACAAGTCCTTTTTTGTTATTTTTGAGGTAGTCTTGCTTTATGCCTAGGTCATCCTGGATTGTGATTCTTTTATTTGTACTTTCCTGTGTTACTGACATGACAGGTGTGTGCCACCATGCACAAACATTGTTTGAGATAGCGTCTCGCAAACTTTGTTTCTGCAAGAGCCTGGCCTCAAACTGAAATTCCTTGATCTCCACCTTCCAAATACTGAGGAATACTGTACCTAGCTCACCTTCATTCTTCCTTTGATCTCCACTATTTCATTTTTATTATTAAATACTATTTTAATTGTACAGAATTAACATTTCTCTTGAGAATTCAGTTGACAGTCTAATTTTTCTTCCTATGGAATTAATTTGCCTTTTCTCCTCTTACTACTTGTTTGTATTTTCTGACTTTTGACTTTCTATAATTTTATTATGAGGGATACAATATAGATTTCTTTTTACTTGCTACACTTTTGTCATTCTTGCTTCAGATTATTTTTCAAAAATATGAAGTTGATTTGAAGGCTTGCTAACATAATCCTATAATCCCTCTCTCCTTCTGTTCCTCTTTCCCATCCCATAGATAACCACTATCCCAAAGCCAGAATATCCTCATAAAAGATATCCATAACCTATTCCCTGAATTTTGTGAATAAACTGTATTGTAGGTGAAAAAGATGACATAAATATTAAAGGCCTTGGGCTGGGAAGATGACTCAGTGGTAGAGTGCTTGCCTTGCATGCCTGAGGCCCTGGGTTCGATTCCTCAGCACCACATAAGCAAAATGAAAAAAGCTGGAAGTGGCGCTGTGGCTCAAGTGGTAGAGCGCTCGCCTTGAGCTGAAGAGCTGAGGGGCAGTGCCCAGGCCCAGAGTTCAGGCCCCACAACCGGACCCAAAAAAAAAAGAAAGATTAAAGGCCTTAGGCCAGGCACTGGTGGCTCACACTTGGAATCCTAGTTACTCAGGAGGCTGAGATCTGAAGATTGTGGTTCAAAGCCAACCAGAGCAGAAAAGTGTGTGAGACTCTTATCTCCAATTAACCACCAGAAAAATCAGAAGTGGAGCTATGGCTCAAAGTGGTAGAGTGCTAGCCTTGAGCGAAATAGCTCAGGGACAATACCTGGGCCTTGAGTTCAAGCCATGTGACTGCCAAAAAACAAACAGGCAAAAAAAAAAAAACAGGCCATGAAATGGGAGATTTTAATGGACTATCTAAGATAACCAGATCCAATCTCATTAGCCCTCTACAGAGAACTTCCTTCCACTGGTAAGAGAAAGATGTTGCAGGAATACAAGTCAAATTGATTCAAGGCAATGCCTGAGGGCACTTGGCCCACTCCTACTCAGTGGGGGGGATGCATGACCATTATGAGAACTCAACCACTAGGAGTAAAAGCCAGCCCCAACAGCGAGCCAGCGAAGAAGCAGTGACCTCAACCCTA